TGAAAACAACTGTTTTCATACAGCCATAGCTGGACGCTTTTGTCCAGATTAGGAATTTCCTCATAAGACTTTCTGCGCGAGAGTGCCCTCCGGCTTCGAGTATGAATGAAACACACACTGCACGGAGTGTTTAGCGCTCCGTGATGTTCATCTCGCCTTATTCTGGGTCCGAATAAAACATCAGATCATGCACAGACTCTCCTGTCTCTTTGAATTTAAATCTATATTTATTCACACCGGCTCTTGAAAACCTCTATGCGAACACACTTGCCCGAAAAAGTGCGGGGGACGAATTTACGTGATATTAAAAGTGGGGGGGACACGTCCCCCGCGTCCCCCGCGTAATCTACGCCCCTGCTGGACAATACCATGATGAAATGACACACATTCCAAGCAACCTAGATTGTCACTATTCTTTGAGCTGATATCCTGAAAACTGAAAGTGCAAACAGTGTGTAAGGCAGATCCATGTTTACAAATTAATGAATAATTCACAAATAGTTCATCCCTTATTTAAAACTATTGTTGTACTCACTGTTGTACACAAGACATGGCAGGATGGATGCTCATTAAAAAAAAAATGGCACTCTGAAAGTAGGTTTTCATTGCATAACAGCTACTGTGTCATGTTGTTTGCTACACACACACACACACACACACATATATATATATATATATATGTAATGATTGAACATGTATTCAGCAATGACCTCATTCCTTGATTGTCACACTTATGTTATACTGCAAGAGTCCAGAAAGCTTAAAATTTCTATTTTCACAGACAGGTTATGTAGGTAGGAAGGCAACAAGATATGTGTGAATCCAACATTAAGTAACATAATTTAATTTCTGGGCAAGAAAGCTACCTTAGGTTCTGAACACAGCAATATAGAGAGCCATAATATTTTGGGGGGCTTTGCATTTAGTTGAGGACATCAAAATAGGCTTTTTTGCAGAGGTATGTCTGCTTTATTTTATTTATTTATTTTCCCATTTGTGCCCAGTTTTTTTTTTTTTTCTGAATGGTTTGATGCATATAGTTATGTTAATAGTGTCCTATGTGAACATGTTCTACATTTATTTTCCCCAGTTTTTTTTTTTCTTTTTCTTGAAAATCGTATTTGAATGTGCGGCAACTGTAGTTGAACATTCTGCAAAATATCTTCTTTTGTGCTCAACAGAAGAAAGAATCTCATAGGTTTGCAACTTGAAGATGACACAATGATGACACAATTTCCATTTTTGTGTGAACTTTCCCTTACGTAAGCAGTTTTAGTATAAGTAGCCTACAAGGAGTACTGCAGTGAAGGTACAACTAGTTTTATAAATTTACATAAACATATTTGCATACTATACTTTGTTATGTAAATATGTAAAATATCACATATTTTATGAATAGGCACATATTGACTAGGACAAATGGATTAACCCTGACAAAAGTCCTTGATATTCATGAAATTAATGATATTATTTTCAAAATATATGATTATTTAAATAATTATAATGTGTAGGCTACACCCCAATGGCTGACTGTAGTAGGTGATTTCATATAATAATGTAAATGTGAACTCATTACTTGTCTGCACTTCAACATTATAATGGAATCATAAGCTACTAGTCATAAAAATAATTAGGGTCCTTGACCAATTAGAATGAAACGCATCCAACTTGGATAAAGGGGCATCAATATTTTGCCCCTTACAAGACATCATGTCATAAAAGGGAGAAAAAGATAATCTACCGCAATTAATTCCATGCGTTAGCTCTTTATCTTTACATTCTTCCTTTTGTGTGACTGACTGAAGTTTGTAAACTGCTGCTGTCACTTGAAAACTGGAAATTCCCACCCCCCATGGCAAAAGCAGACACAGAAGTGGGGCAGTAGAGCTGTGGAAAGATTGCTCTCTCATCTCCTCCTTTTGACAGATTTATTCCCTATCAAATTAAGGTCTACTGTACAGTAGATATGTCAGTTAAAGGGTTAAGTTATGTTTTAGTTGGGATATTATGAAAGCAAAAAGCAGAAAACAAGACCAATAACCTTGATTTATTAACCTATTAACACAGTATACCCCATTTCCCCATGATATGTACTTACAAGTAATTTGCCCACCGGCAACTATAGTTGCCGCTTGGACCTTTGACTAAGTATACAAAAAACTATAGATCTCCTGTAAAATTTGTTTTGTTTGGATGATTCTAGAGACCTTCATGATTATGTAGATATATATTAGGGCTGTCAACCATTAACACTTTTAATCTGATTAATCAAATACTTTTTCTGTGATTAATCACGATTATGCATGTCATTGAGAAATAAAACATGGATAACATCTAGAAAAATACCTACAAAAGGAAAATGGCAACTATAGTTGCCACTGGGCCTAAATGGACACTGTACAAGACTGATAAGCATTTAAATGTCTTTAGTTGAGTTATTATATATTAGCTTGCAGCTGTATCAGGGCACCTTGATGAATAAAACTGTTGACTCATGGTTTTTAAACTCTTTTTATTTTATTTATATTTTTTTCCTGTGAATATTAAGGGGATGCAGGTCACATACACTGTGCTGTGACATCAGCAATCTGTATTCTTTGTGTTTCATGGGAAAAAGCTTCATTCAGTTCAATTAATGTTGTGTTGAATTTCACAGCTAAAGGGTCATGCTGAACTGACGATTGACTGTTGACAGTGAGAGTGAGCTGCTTTATTTTCTTATTTTCCTTATATATGCAGTACCAAATACCCTCGTTTTGATCAATCATATTTTCATCAGTATCCATGCTTATCTTTATATTAAGCCTATGTCACATATCAGGCCCATTAATGAAACACAAGCAGAACAAATTTATGTGCAAATTCTTTGTAAAATCTGTTTTTACTTAAGTTTTTATGACCACTTTTGGCCTTGTGGACTTTTAGAATTCTTCTATTATTTTGTAACTCTGAAGTGGGCACTGTGGATCCTCTGACGGTGTTTCCTGCAGAAGTTATTCAGTCGGATTCTACTGCGGTGAATCGAGGATGGGTATCCAAGCCCAAAAGGGCAAGGAAGAGGGGGAGTCGGGATGGCGTGCTCCAGAGGTTGAAGAGACACGGCCATCGTCGCATGCATCTCCCTACAGTTATGTTGGCCAACGTTCAGTCACTCT